ACAAGGTGTCTCAGATTTTAAGGGAAAATTTAGTAGTCGATAGATCTGGCAAAAATAAAAAGAAAAGTTTTTATAATCAATTTTGATAAAAAACTTTAAGAATATTTTCCGATTGCTATTTCAAAAATGGGAACTAAATTTAAGCGACCTAGTATTTCGAAAGAAAAAAACGCAACATTCGCCAAGCTCCGTGAAACTCTGGGAAAAAATTGGGAAATATTATTAAGATTAATTTGACAGATGACCTAAACTCAAATTCAATCACACACCAAAAGTAACTAGGTAATCTAGTTTGGGCTACCTTAGGTGAATGGATATTATAAACTTGTAAGTTTTAAAGCTTCGTTTTCGAGATACATGGTGGTAAAGTTATTAAAATACAACGTTTTTGTCTCTTGCATTTTTTCTCTATATTGTATAATTTTCAAGAAAAAATAAAATTCGTTTATTTGCTCGCTCCTGGAAAAATTAAAGCCAAAAAATAATTCAATAAGATAGAAAAAATTTAAGACAAAAAAGTTGTATTTTTAGTTATCTAATTTATTAATCTCTAATTTAATTTATTAGTCTCTAATTTAATTTATTATTCTCTAATATACAACTTCTCTAATATACAACTTATGAAAAAACGCCACAGCTTTTTAATTTTAACACCATATCATCATATAAACTTTTCTTCTTATTTTTATTGACTTTTAAATTTTTCCGATTAAAATCTGAGACACCCTGTGTATATAAACCAAAAAGCTGGGACGTCTTAAAATGGATTGTCCATGTTGCAGATTTAAAAATAACTGTTTATGATTTTTATATTTTAATGTAGGAAATAAGCAATAGTTTAAAAATAATTATGGAATCCTATTTTAGTCCAGAAAATCTAGAAATATTTGGAATATTATTTATGTGAACAATAAAAACTGAACATGACATTTATTATGTTTATTTGGTTTGTTGTGATTCACAGTTCATTATTATACTCAGTTTTTTAACAATGTTTTAATTTATAATTTGTTAGGTAGATAATACATTTTTAGGTAAAGAATTCATTTCACCAAAATAGTTAGAGTTTTATGTACTATTTTTTTAAGCATATAATTTAATGATTTTTTAAGATACAGTTACATCATTTTTAGGTTAGGCTCAACTAACTTTAGCTTTATTTCTTTACGAATCCGTATAAGTCAGTTTAATAATAATTTGACTTTTGAACTATACGTATTATAATAGGAAGGCTTCATATTAATACAAGTATCATGGTCGGTCTGGACAGGGCGGCGATAGCGCCTGGGCCAAATCGGATAGTTTGGGCGGGCGGGGGGCCAACTCAGAACATTGCCAATTTAAACAATACATTTTTAAACATCGAATTAATTAATGATTTAAACCTAAATTAAACATTATATTTTTTTATTAAATTTTACATAAAATACACAATTTCTTCAACAATGGGTTTAGTGTAATTGGGCAGATGTCGGTATCAGTAATCCGTCAAAAATATTGTTTATATATATAATATTAAATATTATAAAGTAACAAATCTCTGCTATTATATAGATATGTTATGTTCTAAAGACAATAACATCGGAAAAATATCGCCAAAAAGTTATCCATGATAGCCGATAATCAGGCCAATTCACTATCATAAGTTGTTAACGTTAGCCACTAGAATCCGTGCTTATCGTTATATTTAAACGGCCCGATTGGCCGGATTGCCCGATAACCACTGATTCTAGTGGTTAACGTTAACGACTCATGTTAGTGAATTGGCCTGAATGTCGAATAAAAATACCATCGATATAAACATCGATAACGAAACAAAAAAATTGATGTTTTCAGGGGCGGACATATGACCGGGCAGTTCAGTGAGGTGCCCGGGGGCCCCGATCATATAGGGGCCTCCAGACATAACGAAAATTGTTAAATAAAATAATAATTAATAACCCAAATGATTCTATATGTTTTTTATATTATATTTTAGACGTTTTCCTATACAATTTTGTGAATTGTCGTTTTTGGAAATAAATGTTATTATTATTATCCTCGAAGGGGGCAAAATATCGCCACTCGGTATACTGTGAAAGTACGGTATATAAATTTTTGGAAATTTTTCTGTTTTTTTTTTTACTGTAAAAGAAACTTATGATTTTTTGGAGTCGCCGTATTTCATCATAAGCTTAAGAATTTTTTTTTACAAAGCTGTAAAGAATTAACTAGGAAATATCTGAATCGTTTTGTAAATCAGTTTAATATGTTGGTTTATTTTATGAAACATGACCTTAAAGAGGAAACCTATAATCTTATTGAATTTATAATTAAAAATTATGAGTATGGGTAATTCTTTTACAAACCGAACACCTTTTGACCGACACATCTCAGATTTGGCTGAAACTTTTTTTACGGATTCTATGTCGAAAAATAAGAGATACATGTCCAAAGAATTTTTTTTCTCTCGCATATTTTCGATAATACAAGCTATCGAAAATTTGAAAATAACGAGTTTTTTGGCTTGGAGACTCATTTTCAAAAATTTATAACTCTGGTTCTATTTGATCTAAAAACTTCTTTTTTTTTTCATTTTAAAGCTAAAAGGGACTGAATTTTGATAAAAAAATATTTTTAATAAATATTAATATAATATATTATTAACAAATTCATGTTATTAACAATTTCATTGTTTAAATCAATTTTTAACAATGGCCCCCACCTCGTATTAAGTTTTTATTATTTTTATAGTATTCTCCGTCAAATTTTACATAAAAAACATGATTTCAAAATATACTACACTTATTATTACTATTGTTAAAACATTAATTCATATCGCGCGACACTTAAAACAAAACGGTTTTTTGTTAATAAAAAGAAAACTATAGCTCGGATCAAAAAAAGTCAAATATAAAAGTTGTAAATAATAAAAAGATCTACAATTTTTATTTTAACTATTTTTCGACATAACCTCACTTTTCAAATAAATTTCAATTTTTTATTATTTTTAAAACATGTTTTTTATATAAAATTTGACGGAGAATACGATAAAAATACTAAATACTTAATACGAGGTGGGGGCCATTGTTAAAAATTGATTTAAACAATGAAATTGTTAATAACAATATGAATTTGTTAATAATATTTATTAAAAATATTTTTTTATAAAAATTCAGTCCTTTAGCTTTAAAATGAAAAAAGATGTTTGTAGCTCAAATAGAACCAGAGTTATAAATTTTTGAAAATGAGTCTCCAAGCCAAAAAACTCGTTATTCTCAAATTTTCGATAGCTTGTATTATCGAAAATATGCGAGAGAAAAAAAATTCCTCGGACACGTATCTCTTATTTTTCGACATAGAATCCGTAAAAAAAAGTTTCAGGCAAATCTTAGATGTGTCGGTCAAAAGGTGTTCGGTTTGTAAAAGAATTACCCGTATATGGAAGCAGACTTTTGTAAAGTTTTTATGTTTTTTATGCTATTTTTACTTTTTTTGTAGCGATGGTTTTTTTAAACGATCTTTTAGTTAACTAAAAATGTTAAAAATTGCAGTGATTGCGTGATTCAACAAGTACGAAGAAAGGCGGTATTATACCGCTCAGCTCGACGTTCGCACTACGCAGTAAGGATGCGCACAATGTATAGATGTTTTAAAAACATCCAGTGGCGGATCCAAGCAAAAGTGGGCCTAGGTGCAAATTATACTTTTGGACACTGTACATTTGTCTTCGACTAACTTTTCCTTCTTAAAATTACTTCACAAAAAAAATAATGAAAAATACAATTTTTTTAAAAAATTACAAAAAAGAACGTATGTGTTTATAATATGTTTATAATAAACACATACGTTCTTTTTTAAACCACAAAACTTGATTTAGATCCATGATCCATTTTGGATTACCTATGTACATATGTATATAAAAGGACGTTTCAATAATAACGAAGTTATGATGAATTAAAGTGTGGATTTTCTGACAGAACTGTTAAAGAATACATCTGTCAACCATGTTTTTCAAGTCTCTGTAGATGCGTTAAAAATGTTTTCTCCTTAACAACCGTATTTTAAATCGGCTCGAAAAATAAACAGCGTTACAGAGTCCTTTAAACTATAAGGTTAAAATAACCCACCCTACAACGTGATATACCGTTGGTGAGCTATTTTCCGGACACCCTGTATAGTACCAATTTAATGAGTGTCATGCTATTTCTTTAAATTCATAGTGGTTTTTTAATTATAATTCCGCGTAAATAAATCATGTATGTTGCAAAAATTCAGGGAAAATTAATTTTTAAATGATTTTAATGAAAATAATGTTTTGTGTTTTTCTACCTACATTAAAAAAATAATGGTTGAGATTTTTTTTTAATAGATTTTTTTTCATTAAATAATGTAACTAGCTTTTATTACTCTATTTCCAAAGAAATAAATTATTCTTATTTTTTTGCTTGTTGCTATGAAAATAATTACCGTATAATTTTTTTTTAAATGTTCATCTCAAAAAAAACCTGTACAAATTTTAACACCAAATCTATAATAATTATTTTATGTTTTGGTTAAACTTTTAATTTAATTAAAGTTTTATCAGTTAATTATCTTTTCTATTTTAAATTACATTTTTAAACACCTAGTATACTATTGTTTATAAAAGTAAAATTTAAATGAATTGACAAGTATACCCATAGGTACCCAGATTGCATTTACATTTTTCAAATATTCCTTACCATTTTCTATAACTGTTTTCAAAGGTTTAAAAATCATTTCGTACCAAAAATATATGGCTTTATTTATACATTTTTTTTTTATATAAAATCGATTTAAATAATTTTAATTTAATATTGGTACCCATATTTTTTGTTTATAATTATGTCTTGATAAATATGAAAAAAATTTAGTTTTTGTTGTAAAAGTAAATCTTTATAAATTAAATTTAATTTAATTAGAAAACCATTACATGTATGTTTTATTTGCATGGCCAATCAACATAGAGCTTTAACCAAGAATATGAAATAAAAACTTACCCGATAGTGTCGTGATTTAACCTAAGATGCTCGATGGTCATGTTGAGGTCCTTAAAGGCCCTGTAGTTTAAGTCTTTGAGGTCGGCAAAGCCGATGGACAAATGCACTCGGTTCGCAGGATTAAAGTGTCCTTGGAATTTTTCGGAAATCTGGTCGTACGTGTAATTCCTGCTGAAGCATTTGATCGAGGTGATTTGGCTCTCCTGTTTGCAGGTGCACGGTGCAATTTCCCTCCACATGGGGCATTTTGGCACGCTTACGGACAGCCCGACGATGGTCAAAAGAAGCGCGGATCCTGCCATGGTACTACGATTTTGTAATAGCATCAGATCGCACTGTTCACTAGATTAGTCGTCGCGTTTGTTTAGTCACATTTGAACTACACAACTGCTTTTATAATCTGGCGGCCGATTGCGAACAAAGGGATAATCCGGAAGGCTGAAACTAAAGAATGTGTGTAAGGTATTATAATTCAACCCGGATAGCGCGCTGGTCTGTTTAAAACTGAATGTGTGATGGCGCCTAAATTTTCTTAGCTGGAACGCGATGTGAGAATGTGCGTACGACAGGCACTGAGAGATGTAGGCGCCAGTGTCAGCCATATATCTCTATCGGGACTCCGCATGCTGCCTGCCATCCGCATCTACTTATGTCCGAGGCACACACACGGAACCACCGATCAACTTTAATTGACATCGCTATCGCGATTTCGACGCTTATGACGCCAATCGTCAATATCTTTCGTCTTCGTACTGTCTCCCGGAAATGCACAACACGTTTCACCCAGAAAATTTTTAAGTGCCTTACTTTCGGTTACCATCAACCATAAAAAGTATTAATTATTTTTGTCACTACTTGCCTTAGATATTACCATATAATATGTGAACTTGAAGTCATTTTTTACATGAAGCAAGACCGCGCACAGGATTTAGTTCTGGTTCAATTTTTTATATATTGAGCGGATTAACGAGTATGGGCACGTACCCGGTATATACCCGATTTTTTAAATTTGGATAAATACTCAAGGTATGTACTATGTACCAGTGGTAAGCACTATTGTAAACTTTGAACTATCAACTATCGATAGTGCACAACTGGTACATAGTACATACTAGGGTGTTTCAAAAAAAACCTTTTTTTTGTTCTTTTTCTCGGATCCACGCTCAAAAGTTTCGTATAGATATAAAAATAAGCCTGTGAAAAAATGAGCTCTTAATTTCAAAATTAAGATGCTCCGCATCGCACTTTTCGATTTTCCATAAGAATAACAGGAAAAATTATTTTTGTTTCTTTTTATTTTTGTAACTAACGAACAATAGGTCGTACTGTAAAGTTCTTGACATATTTTTGTAGAGAATTGAACGCTCTACAAAAAGGGTTTTTTATGATTTTTTGATAAATTTTATCCTTCTAAAGAAATTTAAGGTCAAAGTTCAAATTATACGAAATTTTTGTGTTTTTTAACTACCCGACTCATTTAAAAAAATTTGAAATATTTTTGTAGAGAATTGAACGCTCTACAAAAAAGGTCTAATGTCATTGTTCGGTAAGTTAACTTGGTTAAAAGTTATTCAAGGTTAAAGTGAAATTAACCGTCAATTTAGTCGTTTTCTCGATTTTTGTTCTGGATTTTTTAGTTCAAAGGGCTAAAAACGAATCGAAATATTGTTTTTGAGCTCTGGAAATTCGGAAAAACAGCGTTCAATTCTCTACAAAAATATTTCAAAATTTTTTAAATGAGTCGGGCAGACTCGCCAAAAAAGTTAAAAACCCAAAAATTTTGTATAATTTGAACTTTGACCTTAAATTTCTTTAGAAGGATCAAATTTACCAAAAAATCATAAAAAAAAACTTTTTTTGTAGAGCGTTCAATGCTCTACAAAAATACAACACTCATGGCGACATCTCTGTTTTTAATATCTAACAAATTTTAGACCGATCCAACCTCACTTTCTTACAATTAAATTATTTTTCTATGGTATTTTTTGGAAACGTAGAAAAAGTATAGTCTGAAACACGTTTGGAATTGCATATTCCGCTAGAGTGAAGAGTTTGTCACACGAGCCGAAGGCGAATTTGACGGTTTCACGACTGTATTCCAAACTTGTTACAGAATATTCTATTTCCTATGTTATTCTTATGGAAAATCGAAAAGTGCGATGCGGAGCATCTTAATTTTGAAATTAAGAGCTCATTTTTTCACAGGCTCATTTTTATATCTATACGAAACTTTAGAGCGTGGTTCCGAGAAAAAAAAAACAAAAAAAAGGTTTTTTTGAAACACCCTAGTACTGTCTGTCCACTCTAAGTTGGCGGAACTAAGGAATTTTGTAGTTTAGATATTAAAGAATTGTCGTACTGTGTGCTTTTAAAACAGAATTTTATATTATAAATAATACTAGTAAACATTATATACTAGTATTATTTATAATATAAAATCTGTTTTAAAAGCACACAGTACGACAATTCTTTAATATCTAAACAACAAAATTCCTTAGTTCAGCCAACTTAGAGTGGACAGACAGTACATAGTATGTACTACATACCTAGGGTATTTATCCAAATAATAAATCCGGTATATACCGGGTACGTGCCCATCACTGATTAGGACCTTTTTTTAATAAAAATAGGGATTTAATTTATCAAATTATTTGAACAGCGTTTTGGCCAAAATGGTAATGGAAGTTTGAAAAATTGATAAGTTTGTATAAAATATATTGTAACTTGGCTAAAAGAAGTTTTTAAAATTAAAAATAATTTATAGTCAACTAATAAAACTAGTTTACAAAATCGGAAAAAATTCTGCCCACCATATCCCATTATAATTTTTCCATGTAATTTGACCCACTAAACACTAAAAAATTTTTATGGAAGCGTTTTTGAAATATGAATTTTCAATTGTTTTTGAGTATAGCTTGAAATCTAATTGATCGATTTGGTCAAACAAGCTCTTAAATTGAAGGTACTCTAAAACTTTATTTTAAATACTTTTGATATCGGATAAGTATTTTGACGCTAACAATTTTAATAACTTAAAAAATTCGTTTTTATGGCAAAAATTGAGGTCGAAAATTTACATATCGTCCTGGGAAAGGTTTAAATCAAACAGATAACTCCAGTTTGGATTTTTTTCGTGAAGCTGACATTTTTTCAAAAAAAAAACAAGCTAATGTTGATAAAAATACATGAAAATGGCAGAGTTATGAATTTTTTAGTGGAAGACCAAAATTCAGCTTTTTATCGATTTTTATTTTTTTTTCTTTTATTTCGTAATATGTTTATTTTTTAATGAAAACCTAATTAAAGTGCATGATTGGAAGTTTTTAAGTTTTTTACGTACTTTTTTCACCGAAAACATTATATAAAATTTAAATTTGACATGACTCCGCAAACTTGAATTCTTTTGTTTCTCGTGTTGGCATAGTGACATTTTACTGCTATTTTTTGATTAACAGAGTATTTTTATCATGGTTTTATTTAGTTAATAAAAAGTTTAAAATAAGTAAAAGAAGTAGAGAGTTCGAGTGCGTAAATAACCCGGACAATCTTGGCGACGTTAGTGATGAGCACGGAGAACGTTTTCACCAGCAAATTAAGGCTATGGAGCGGCGGTATCACGGCTTCTGGGATGCAACCATGATGAGTGATTACATTTGGTCCCTTATACGAGAAACGGAATACGAAAGCAACAAAAAACAAAAAAGGAGCCAGATTTTTTTTAAACCTATGCATATTACAACAAAATAAAACTTTCAATATCTTCAATGTTCAATATCTTTATTGATCAATGTTCAATATATAATTTAATTTCAATATTTAATGCTTAAAATAAAAATCAACGCTCAATATTAAACTTTATATAACTCAATAAAATGAAAAAAACGTAAAAATTCTTGAAAAAACTGAATTTTGGTCTTTCACTAAAAAATTCATAACTTTGCCATTTATCCATGGATTTTTATCAACAGCAGCTTATTTTTTTCCTTTAAGTATAATCTATACGTAAAATAAATCAAACTGGACTTATCTTTTCGCTTTCTATCTTTCCCAGAAAGATATGTAAATTTTTGAACTTGATTTTTGTAAAAAAGGACTTTTTCAACTTCATAAAATCGCCAGTATCGAACTACTGAGCCGATACCAAAACTATACAAGAGAAAGTTGTAAATTAGGCTGGTTCAAAAAAATCAACTATTTTTTTCCTGAATTTTTGCACTGAAATATCTTAACGATACCAAAAAAAGACTCCTGTGAAAACCGGAGCTCTTAATTTTAATATTTAGAGGTCGCGCATCGATAATTTTTATTTTCCATTTAAATAACATGGGAAATATTGTTTTGTTTCTTTATAATTTTCTAGCTTACAAACTAATTAACAGATTTGTATGCGCGATATATATTCTTGTGGAAAATTGAACGCTCTACAAAAAATGTCTCATATCATTTTTCGATAAACCAACGAGTTCAAAAGTTATTCAAAGTCAAAGTTAAATTTATGTCATAATTGCATTTTTTACTTCAATTTTAGGCAAATTCATAAGTTAGTTATTATCAAATATAAAAAAAATCATTCAAAAATCAAAATTACGATGTTCAATAAGCCTTTTAAATCAATTCACCTACTATTTTTGGAAAGAATTCATTAAAATTCTATCATCATCTATTTTGCATTCATAATGACTTTATTGTAACACCGCTTTCGGTGCTGTAATGAGGTACTTTACCCCACCCAAAATTTTGATTTTATAGGTTGGCTACTTTAAACAGCATACTATTAAAATAATATTTTGCGTATTGGTTATAAAATTTTTATGATTTTTCTAGTACTTACGAGACTTTTCTGGCAATAAATTTTGTTTAACACCAAAGAAAATCCTTTTTTTCTTCTTTCTGCCAAGGTCGTCGATAAGTGGGGGGTTTCAACTCCAAGCTTAATGATATTTTTACAAACTAAAAATGCATTTAAAATATTGGTTTTTATACTCTTATATTATATGTTTACTTCTAGACAATTATTACCTTATGACTAGGGCCACTTTCTCACTAATAACAAATCACGAGATTGCACCACTATAGGCTGGTATGTCCACTGATATCTATAGAATATTATCTCTTATTTTATCACCTTATATTGTCTTTATAGGTACAGAATCTAGGGAATAAGCCACACCGCAAAATATTTATGAGATTAACATATAATTATTCCGTAATATTATTTTAATTAGAGTAATTAAATTGTTTTAAAGTTTATTGTTTACAAGAATTTCACTAGACTTCTTGTTTTAATAAGATGTAGTGTTTACATTTTATCTAAACATGTCATTTAAATGAATAGTAAAGAGATTACGATACTACGTTTTAAAAACAAAAAACTGTAATATTTACCAATATATTTTAATATAACAAACATCCTCAACAAAACAATAGCAAAGCCCCAACATTGTACCATTGTATACAAATACATCTATAGATGTAGATCAAAGTAATAAATGAGCATGTTTTTCGTATCAAAGCCAAATTACAACTAAATGGTTGATTACGTTGTAGGGATTATAATTATTTTTATCAGCAAAAACAAAAAAAGGGTGAGTCAGACTTGCGCGATAAACATATTACGTTAAGGGTGACAAATTTTAATTATAGATATATTTGTTATTTATTATTTTATTAATACTCAAATAATCTAATTT